GTATTCATTACCTACTTCCCACTTAGAATGTCAGCTCCCATCAGGGAATGGGCTTATATTCCCAGTAACTGAATCAGTGCCTGCTACAGTGGGTACTCACCTATTTGTTCAGTGGTGAAAGAGCCTCTGCATTTGCAACTTTTTAAGTTACTGCCCAGCAGCTCCCTTGTTTCCCACACGTGGGGCTAGATGCACCTCTAGAAGATCTGCCATGGGCATGGGCTTTACATCCTTTGTGTGGGGGGAGAATGTCCTAGTACTATTCAGGCATCAGCCAGCCAGGGATATTCCACTTTGCTTTGCTCTTTAGACTTGTGTCAGAGTAGGATATTCTTCTCCGTTCTGAAAGGATGGAGTTTAACGTTCTGCTCTCTGCTTACAGATGACGAGATGATGGCCACAGAGGTAACCCCCTCAGCCATGGCAGAGCTCACAGATCTGGGCAAATGTCTGATGAAGCATGAGGTGGGTGGAGAGGGCAAGCGATGCCTTTTCTCCTTGCCCAGCTGGGGAACCAGCTTCCACTTTTCTCACTCTAGGATATCATAAAAAGAGTTTTGTAATACTCCTTTATATAGGTTCCTGGTTCCTAAAGCCCCCAGAAAAAAAACAGGGGAAAGGAGCAAGGCCTTGGTGTCTCCCATGGCAGCGTGAGCACAGCTCTCAGAGAACACACGGGCACACTGATGCAAATCCCCGGTGTTTAGCACCTGCCCGAGGCCTGAGCTTTGTCTCTGTTCTACACATAGATTTCTCTTATATATCGTTTTCTTCTTTTTGACTTCCTGATAAACAAAAACAGAAAGTAAACTCACTTCTTTTCAGTAGCTGCTTTTATCATTTTCCTGCTTACCTATTATAACTCCAGCCCCTTATGTGTAAGAATAGTTAGAGAAAATTATGTTTGTTTTCCCATTGTAATCCTTCATCCTTTCCTGTTCAGGATGTTTGCACAGCGCTATTAATTACAGCCTTCAATTCCTTGGCCTGGAAGGATACTCTGTCCTGTCAGAGGACAACCACACAGCTCTGCTGGCCTCTCCTCAAACAAGTATGGTTATTCACCCCTTCTCCCCACCCCTCATGGAAGGTTTGGGTCATGCAGATTAACTGAGTCATTTGGAAGAATTGGGTTGCTGGGGCCTTCAGAGAGGCCCCCTGTGGCCCTGAACACAGTTGTCTCCCCAGGTGCTGTCAGGGACACTGCTCGCAGATGCTGTTACGTGGCTTTTCACCAGTGTGCTGAAAGGCTTACAGACGCACGGGCAGCACGATGGGTGCATGGCTTCTCTGGTCCACCTGGCCTTCCAGATATATGAGGCACTGGTGAGTGAGGACAGAAGGGGGGCAGGATGGCTGCGGCTTTATTGCGCACCGCCTGCTCCCAGTCTCTTGGGCCTTATCCTAGATGTAGGCATCTGCCCAATTTGCTAGGGGTGCCCCTGAGAGGTGGGTGGGGTGTGGCAGGGAATAGGGAGAGTGAAGAGGGTAACAGTTTCCAAACCTACATCAACTAAGTGTATCCTCACTTATCAGCGCCCTAGGTACCTGGAGATAAGAGCTATTATGGAGCAAATTCCTGAAATACAGAAAGACTCTCTGGACCAGTTTGACTGCAAGCTTTTGAACCCCTCCCTGCAGAAAGTGGCTGACAAGCGCCGGAAGGACCAATTCAAACGCCTCATTGCTGGTTGCATTGGGGTAGGTCAAGCACTTTCATTAGTTCTCCTAACCCCGTTTGGGCAAACCAGAAACCAACTGTAGTTATAGAGCATTATGGTGGAATGATCTTTAACGCACTACTCAAGGTCCCGCATTAGTTCTTTCTCATTTGTTTTCTACAGAAACCCTTGGGAGAGCAGTTCCGAAAAGAAGTTCACATTAAGAATCTTCCGTCACTTTTCAAAAAAACAAAGCCAATGCTGGAGACAGAGGTGCTAGACAACGACGGGGGCAGCCTGGCCACCATCTTTGAACCCTGAATCAAGCTTTTGGGCATCCTTCCTTGGCCTTTATTGTCATCTCTTCTTCCCCTCCGTAGCTAATCTCTAGGGCCTTCTCACACTGCCACCTCACTTCCCACCATTGTCAGCCTGGAGAGATCCAGGTCTGGAGCCGGAGAGAGTGGGCCTGTGCAGGGCCAGAAGTAATTATACTGAAGTATCAAGAGAGGGAGTCAGGGCTTACATCATTCTGTCTACACGTCCCAGGTAGTTCCTAGTCTACTTGGAGTTTCGGCTTTTCCAAAAAAAGCTAGAGCAGAGCAGCCCTTCTCCCCGAGCCCTCCCACCTCCATGCAGCCACACACCTGTGCAGAATGGTAACTAGGGGCACTGTGCCCACCACTGCAACTAGCTGGGCTTGCAGCAAGGTCTCAGCCTTCACTTCCTTGTGCCAGACTTTATCCTGAACCACTGCAAATCTCACTGACCCCCCCTTGCTGCAGAGCTGGCAGAGAACCATCCCCACTCCCAAGGGGCATGTCTGGTTTGGGTACTAAGTGCTGAAGTAAATTTGGCCAGTTCCCTCAACTTTGTTTTGGGCAAGAATCTGGGCACCTGATGGGCCCCATGGTACAGTCTACTGCTAAACTCTGGGCACGGTATCAAGTGTAGAACCTCCAGGGACCAGGGCTGGGCAGTCTTTAGTGCTAACATCCCCCTTAGAGCTCACACATCTTATCCTTCCATTAAAGACCCCTCAATCTGATTTGCCCCACCTTGGGGTGCACTCAGGCACAAGAGCCACAGTACCCTATCTAGTGTCATATGACAGCATTGTCATCAAAAAATAATCCAGACCAGCTCGGCTGTGTCTGTGACAAGTAGCTAGCAAAGCCACTGGTCTCTTCCTAGGACTATCTGAGTCCAGGTGCCTTCCAAAATCTCATGGGCCCTGGTTACTTTGCTCAAGGGCCATTTCCAAAAAAGAAAATATGCTTTCCTATCATAACCTGTACTGAGTCCATTCTAGAGGTCACTGGAAGGCCCTGTAAGCAGAGAGGACATGGATAAAGGGACCTACCCCTGAGATCATTACTGGTGGCCACAGACAGGATGAATCCATATGGAGACCACAGAGTATATGTCCATGTACTCTGCACAGACACATCTGTCATCCTTCTGATCCACTGACAGGAGGGTTTCAGTGAGAGCCAGAGTGGACCGAAGCTATAACTTAGCTGGTGCCGGGTAAGGCTCGAAGGAAGCGAAGCTGGGGAAGCACATCTTAGGAGTCTCATGTTGCAGCTCTGCTACCCAGACTTGCCCCTGCTCTCTTCCTCTGTGGTGCTTGGGGTTTCTGTAGATTGTGAAAGCGATCTCAAAGAGTGTTTCCCTCCAAACTTGATAGCTGCCTACTCTTCTCTCTGGTTGGGGCTGTGGAGGGTGTAGTTATATTTATTGTGTTGTAATATTTTTAACATCCTGTGACTTCATGCTAGATATTTTCTATTGTTTATAGAAACTTTTTGTAGAAACATTAACTCTAAAGCACATCTGCATGTCAGTAAAAATCTCAATTTCATACACAAAGGATGCCATCTGCCTTTTTCAAATCAGTCTTGAAAGCAGGAACATACTCAAGAGTTATTTCCTCAAGAGCATCCTAAGGGGACTAGACAGGAAGAACTGTGACGGATGGACCTCATCTGTCAAGCTCTCTGAAATAGTATGCCAGTTAGATTTCTGTGCCTGACCGCATAGACTAGGTAGCGCATCCATTCTCACTGTCTTGCATATGTGGCTGCTGGGCCTGATTTCCATGGACTGTCCAAAGGGAATTGCTGCTGTTCTTTGCAAAGCTGTCAATAGCAACATGAACTTCCCTGGTAATCCAGGAGACAGGCAAAGTGGCACATTCACTCTGGCTCCTTAAGGTTTTGCTGTGTCCCCAGAAACCACCACAATTTGAGATTCCTGAGGAGGTTTTTTAGTTTGGCCCTAACCTGCAGTAACATCTGAGCCCATGTTGTTTGTTTTGAGGCAGGGTCTCACTCCCTCACCTGCCCAGGCTACAGTGCAGTGGTGTCATCATAGCTCACTGCAACTGTGAACTCCTGGGCTCAAGTGATCCTCCTGCCTCAGACTCCCTAGTAGCTGGGACTGTAAGTGTGCACCACCATGCCCAGCTAATTTTTTACTTTTATAGAGACAGTGTCTTGCTCTTGCTCAGGCTTGTCTCAATCTCCTGGCCTCAAG